GGGGGGGGGGGATGCAGAGGATGAGGAAAGAAAAAAGGCATCACACCGATCTCTCAACTAAAGCGTAACAGTTGTGGACGTCGCTTTGAGATCTGGTTGAGGTTAGACCTTATTTTATTTTTCTATTAAAATTTTGTTTTTTGTATCGCTGATTTCCTGCCAAGCCGTTCTCGGATATTAAAAAATGGCTCATCCCAGGAGAGAAGGGTACGATCATCGAGAGATAGTGGTGAAATATATCCATTATAAGCTGTCACAGAGGGGCTATGAGTGGCAAGAAGGGCGACACTTAACTGCTGAACTCTCAGAAGCTTCTGCTGCTGCTAACAATAATTCATTTAATGATGGAGAGGTGTCTGCTACCCATGGAGGTCCAACTGGACATCCACCTGCTTCAAATTTGCCTGCTGCTTCCTGTTCAGATAATGAAAATCCAAGTGATGCTCCGGTGCTAGACAATGCACCTGCTGCTCACAGAAGTACTGCATCTGCTGCTTCCCCTGTCCCTTTACCCCAAGCAGAGTTGGATGTTTCCGAGAGAGACTGGAATGCCCCCCAAGATGCCAACCAACCGCTAGATGATAATAATGATGAATATATGCCCTTACAAACCCTTCCCCCACAATTGTTTCAGACACTGAGCCGTGCTGGAGATGAGTTCTCCAGTATGTACCAGCAGGACTTCAGGCATATATCAGGGCTTCTCCATCTAACCCCATCCACAGTTCGTCTTCGCTTTGCTGCTGTGGTGGAGGAGCTCTTTCATGATGGGATAAACTGGGGCCGTATTGTGGCTTTCTTCGAATTTGGAGGAGTCATGTGCGTGGAAAGTGTCAATCGAGAGATGTCTCCTCTGGTGGATTCCATTGTTGGATGGATGACTGACTATCTGAACAGACATCTGCAGAACTGGATTCAAGAGCAGGGAGGATGGGTATGTTATAGTTTTATAACTAGTTTTATGGATTTGCCAGGTCTGTCTGTTTGGTATCATTGACACAGTCTTTAAATAACAAAATTCTTTAAAGATGTGTTTCACCGGAATGGACAAGTGATGAAGATGCCGGTAAAATCAAAACTGAAATGAGGTAACAAACTATAGGTGGCCCCATAGTAACCAAACTACCGGTGTATCCAAAGTTAGGATTAAACGAGTCCAGGATGTGGTTAGCAAATGTGCTAGGGACCACATACCTATATGTTGAGGGTCTGTAAGAGCCTGAGCTGTCGCATTATAGTGTTATAAACAAAGGCAAACTAAACTAAAAGGCAGAAAGGTTTAGCTACTGACATAATTCTATTAGATATTTTGAAGTGAAGCTTTCCATTTCCCAAACCTGTACACAAGTGATACAGTCATACTTTCATTATCCATTAAATCAGCTGGACACCTTTTCCAAAAACATGCAATGTTAAGCAAATTTACATTTTTTTAACAAGTCAGTAGCCAAGCCCTCATCTTCTTCTCAAACCACTACTTGTGTACTTGTGACCATTCAGATAATTCTGCTGCCCAGCAGATATAATTGATGTGGCTGCCACAGGAAGTGCAAAGGTGTCTTTGACATGTGGGCTGTGATTGACAGCTTGACTGTACCTTCTATGTACTGCAAATATGGAGCAATGACTAGGGAAATTATTAGGGGAAAAGTGGTTCTGGAGGGACAGACTGGAGCCGTTTTTGTTGTGATTGAGTACTGGTGAGTTGTTTAGTTGGTAGCAATTTCTGTAAACACTGGAAAGTAAAAGCTGCTTTAAATTGTAAACTATTACTTGTAAAGATTTTTATAAATGTTATAATTACTGTTGCTTCCCATCATGGCTTTTCTCGTATCTGCTGCAATATATACCGATTGAGAGTTGGCTAGATCCCATTTGGGCATTTCATATGAATCTTATGTCTCAATGAACTGTCCGGCCTCAAGATCTACATTTTCTTAATTGTAAATTGTTGACATTCTTTGATTAGTAGCGGTTTATGTCTTCTATGGTATGCCTGGTTCTTCCCTGTAATTTCTCAGCTATTCTGTTTGAAGTGTGATACAGCTCTTCTAAATGTCTTTGTTGCTTTGGATTACATAACAAAGATGAGCATAATACTTTGAAGATTTGACATCAATCTGTCACTGCTGTAAAGAGCATTCAGCCAGAATGGGTTATCCACTAAGATGGAGATCTAGCTAGTGGTTGGATATCACATTCTGTGTTTAATAAGCTGGAACTGTCCTAAAACGTATGTGGTACATTTATTGCATTCACCATTACTCAAAGTTCTTCTCTGCCATCTGTATGCTTATAAATAGTAACCCTAAAAGGTGTGGATTTGTATATCAAGATATGATGCAGGCATCAGGTTACCACAGCATTGGATCTCACACAGCCTCAGAGAAAGTGTATCAACTGAGATTACAAGCTGAACTCTAGGCAGATATAAAAACACAAATGAATGCAGCTCTCTATTCATTAATACATGATTCAATTACAAACAGTGCAAGTACCTGAATTTGACCTGGCATTAGCCTCTTCCAGTACCTGTACAGCAGAGCTTGGAATGTGAGAGGAATAAGCAGCATGCTGATAGATGGAGAAAGCAGAATGACACTGAAATTAGCACATCACTGTGCTGCTTCAGCTCTCACTGTCCAGTCAGCCTGGGGCAGGCCCAAGAAAGCCCTGGATCAAAGAAAGTACATTAAAGGATGCTGGCCATCAGACTGAAGACCTACAGTGGCCAAAAAAAGTACTGCATCTGTACATTGAAGGTAAATATTGCAGCGAATGCGTTCTATTTTTTTAAAATCTTTTAATTGGCTATTCATTTTTATCTTTGTTTTTGACTGGAGTTCTGCTTTAATGAAAACCTGTGCTGGGAAAAATATGGGGGCTTCCATTACTGACCCCCTCTTGAAATACTATTCTGGTTACAAAGCAGCCATTCTGAACAATTCAGAAGTATACAGCATATTAATCCAGATGATGAGTGCCAGGTACAGAGCTTCCTCAATTTGAAGAAATAGATTTAAAGAAATATCACCACAACATGAAAAAACAACATGATGAGTCCTCAGGGGACCAAGTGCATGTAGCATTTGGTCCCATTTTCTGCTTGTGCTGATGTAGCTTCACCCCAAGCTAAAGCCTAATTTTTGTGTGTTCTTATGGGGGAGCTACAACCAGCCTGTAGCCACCACCCTCTCAGTAAATAAAAAAGGATTGCTTTGCTTGTGATTATGGGATCAGCTAATTAAATGCATTGACTTTACTGCATGGATAGATACTGTATATTGGTATGGAGTCAAATATCATCTTGGAGTTTTGAAAACAAATACCTGGGACGTAGAAGTTTCTATTTACAGGATTTCAGATTACTAATGGAAAGGTTAGTGTTTTCATAGGGTTGGAGGGAGGTTTCATGTTTGGGTTGGGGGTCACAGAAGGGTTAGTGTGTGTGTGATAATCTGTGCAGAGATATGTGCACTAAAAACTACTAGTGCTGATCTCTTGACTGGGCAAGCTAACATACTGATCATTACATGTCTCCTGGTAATCATGCATTACTATTTGTTAAGTACAGTAGCCAGTAAAGTGTTCCAGCTTGCTCCGCACGAGCTGACGTTGTCAGAATAGTTGCCATAACTTTCTTCTTGGAATCCTCCATTGCCTTTATGTACCTTGAGGCAGTCATACAAACTATTCTGCCATAGTAGGTGCTGGCGGGTTGTGTGATCAGCTGACTGTTTGTAAACATGTGCTGACTGTTTTTATAACTTTTCTCCATGCACGTCCAAGCAACTGAAGACACCAAGGGAATAATTGCCCTCATCTCCAGCATGTGTCTGCTGCCAGGGACAGACGCTGTCTATCAGACCTAATTTTGTATTTGTCTCATTGTGAGCAATGTCGTCGAACAGCAGTGGGGGGAAGAGGGGCGTGCCATCGACCACACTTAACTCATATACTACACCACAGATCAGAACGGGACCAAGTGCTACATGCACTTGGTCCCAAGGTAGATTCCTCAAAGATTTTGTAAATGTAGTAATTTAAATAGCGTGATCGAGCAAAGAGTCCACACACCAACTGCTGTATGAGATGAAGTTCATTACTAACAAACTTGTTGGAGGTCATGTAAGACTGTTTTGTGCTATAATGCTAGTTGTCTGGCTGTCTTTTGGCTTCAATACTTCGTCAGAGCAAGCATGCAGTATGTAAAGTCAGAGTGATATGAGAACATCTGATCTTCATACTGGTTTCACCTCAGAAATTAAGGACACGTAAAATAAATAAGATCATCATGGCAGCCAGGTGACGTGAATTTCCAGTAGTAAGTCAGCAATGGCAGCCTCTGTATTTCTCTCATTACAGGTCTCCTTTTATGAAGTAAAGTCATACACATGCTGTAGGCTTTTAAGCAACACACGTTCTTGTCTTGAAAACCTTACCTTGTTTGTCCCCTTGTTTTGCATTAGTATACTATACTTGTGTTTAGGAAGCTGGAGACATTTGGGCGAAACTGAGTATTGAAAGCTGGGTGAACGTATACCTGTCAGCAGCTTTCAGTAGTATTAAAGTGACAAACAACAAGTGGAAGCAAACAGTGAGCTGTTCATGCTATACAGTAAACACTGCAGATGCGCTAAATATAGAAAGTTTATTCAGTTTACTATAATCTACATGGTTCTGCATTATGCCCTGTGGCATGATTCCAAAGGGCACCCTATAGGGTCATTAGGGAGGCAGCAGTTTGAGTGTACTTCCTGGATCCTACACTATGGAGTTTCCACTCTGCTTCCTGCATCACTAATAACTTTCAGACTTCCACAGCACGTTTGACTATGACATGGTTGTGAGAAACTTCTTACAACTGCCATTAACATAAGGTTTTTAAAATATAAGAGACAGTGGGTCTTCCAGCATCATCAGCAAACATGTTTCAGGATTACAGATAAAAACAAAAAGGAGTGGGGCGGACTTGTGCTTTACTGTAATGCCTGGATAAAAACTGAACTACTGAGCTGATTTCTCCCCATATTAATTTTAATGTTTTAATTTTAATTTTGACTAAAATATACCATTAAAGTAAACTGCACTTTTGTCAACTTTAGCAAAAAGAGAAGCTTGGGTAGTGAAACTATGACTTACCTTTCAGCTATCAAAAATAGGTCCCCTGCCACAGGTTCTAGGTCACTTAGCGGTAGTGGCCTAGCGCTGCAGTTCCCACATCAATCAGAAGTGAATTCATTTTTTTCTAATTTGGGGACCCACAATGCAAAGTTGCTGCAGGTCACATGATCTAAAATGGCAGTTTCAGATCACATGACCCAGAACCCCAATGCTCGGGGACTTGCCTTTTACATCCCAAAGGTAAGCTGCTGTTTCTTATTTGGGCCCCATGCTCCTGACTCCTATGTGGTTTGATCAATATGAACTTAACTTTAGAGTTACTGTAAGTCTGCTTTACCCGGAAATCCCTTTTATGTGTTTTACAAATGACCAGAACAGAACTTACTTATTCATTGTTACCTACCTAGGTCTTCTAGAGCCTTGGTTCTCAACTGGTGGGTCGTGACCCAAAAGTGGGTCGCGACCCAGTGTTAAGTGGGTCGCCACATGCCTTCCACTTTTCTAGGTGAGAGGCTCCTCTGCCTCACCCTAGCACAGCACTGTCCGTTCTCACACCGAGCAGCCATTCAAAATATGCTGCCCAGTGCCGAGTGTCGACTTGAGGTGGGGTGGGGTGGGCTGGGGGTATGACAGAGAGGGGGCTCCATCCATGACCCAAAAGTGGGTCGCGACCCAGTGTTAAGTGGGTCGCCACATGCCTTCCACTTTTCTAGGTGAGAGGCTACTCTGCCTCCCCCTAGCACAGCACTGTCCGTTCTCACACCGAGCAGCCATTCAAAATATGCTGCCCAGTGCCGAGTGTCGACTTGA